CTAGGATACTAATAACTAGCCCAATCAATGTTTGAACGCAGACCAAACATACATCATATCCATCACCAGGTGTGAAGGAGCCTGGCGCTGTACACAGGAAGAAAGAGCCAGGTYCAGACATACACAGACGAAGAGGAAGGAATCAGACGAAAGGAGGGAGAGAGATGGGAATGTCGTCAACAYCAAGTCTTTGTCACCAATCCCAAATAATCCCTCGTTGTCATGTCTGAAGTCCAAAATGTCGAGTCTGGATCCGAYGTYACCAMGCTCTGTCTCTCTTCTCTCGTGGTCTGCAAATGCAGTGAAGTCAGATGATGAGAGGRGGAGAAGGAGATGGTGGWCTGAGAAGWGGAAGAAGAAGAACTCTCCCTCACTGTTACRAGCCAGATACTGACCTGTGATGTTGGCGTTGTGCTGCAGGTACCTCGAAGACGAAGCTGGAGCAACGGCGCTGCAGGTAAGTWCCTCTGGCCTCCGCCCAATCTCTCTCTCTCTCGCTAGTGCTATCCTAGCTATGGCGCCCAGCGCTGGAGACTACAGCTACCTACTGCGCCCAGCGCTGAAGACTACAAGCTAACGCTACTACTACTCTGCAGCGCTTCCTTCAGACTGCTCCCGAATCCTGAAGACTACTGCCTCCTGAATGAATCGTGAAGTGCCTGGGGGGGTATCTATATACTTCCACGGCCTGTCTCCTACGGGCTAGCCAGGCCGAGGAGGCTGCTCTTGCCAATCCACGGCCTGCCTCCTGACTGCCTGAAGGGCCAGCCAGGCCGAGGAGGCTGCTCTTGTCAATGCACGGCCTGCCTCCTGACTGCCTGAAGGGCGAGCTAGGCCGAGGAGGCTGCTCTTGCCAATGCCGAAGTGTGCCAGGGGCTGGCGCTGCAGCATCTGCTGAGGCTGGCGTGGATACAGGCTAAGAATAGCCTGTTCCCGAAACCCTGGTTTGGTGCCTGAGTTTCAGGGCCGGTCGTTCTGGTGAACGACCGAAAATAGCCCTTCGTTTCAGGCTAAAAAGGCTCTTGCCATTTTTAGTTTGAAACGACACAGGGACTGTAGGCCCCTGTTTTCAGGCTGAATTCTAGGCTTTTTGGCTGAAGGGCGCAGGGCCTGGAAAATGGCCTGCGTGTGCAGGCGCAGCATGTAACATGCTTGTCTGCTTGCCCTGGTGCGTCCCTTGCTTGCGTGCCTGGTAGTCTCGTCGCCGTGCTGATGTTGCCTTGCGCTGCGCCGCACGATTGCCGAGCTGCTCGTCCGCTTGCCCTGTCATTCCTTGCAGTCGTCTTTGGTGATAAACAGTTGAGTTGCGTCTACTGTGTTGCCTGGTGCTCCACAGGGTTGCTGCCTGCTGCTATGTCCCGCTTGGGGACAGTCTGCCTTCAACATGGGTCAAAGGGTTCATGACCCAAACCATCAAATACGGGGATTCCGCAGATTGTCGAGGGTTCAGCCTCCTGATGAGTCGGTGCAACTCCGACACACACACACACACACACACACACACACACACACACACACACACACACACACACACACACACCGGAATCAGATGATGTCATAGCACTACAGCAAGGCCGCTGTGTGTACTATGCCATTAATGTATGTCTCCTTGCTTACAATTACAACCCTTATACTGTTTCTGATTCTGCAGACGTTGTCCGCTGGATAGAAGAAGAGCACCTTGCAGTCTGCCGAGAGGGCGGCAGTACTGCACCTTGTGTGAACTTTGAAGTCCTGTCTATGGCATTTATGGGTAGGCGACTACAATTGCAGCCTGCTCCACAAAACCAAGTGCCAGGCATGGATCCGAATATTCAGGCATATTTCTTACATCGTCCAGGTCATTTCCATGCTCTTACTTTGCAGATAATTCATGGACCCTATGGGACAATGGCGGTAGGGTGCACACCGCAGGAACTATTAGCTCCTTAGTTCTCAATAAAAAAAGTGCAATATCCAGACGATGTCGTGTGCCTTGTTAGAGTACTCCCGCCCATAACGCAACCCTACTTAAACGGCAATACAAAGAGCCCTTCCCTTCCTCCTCTTCCTCCTCTTCCTTCCCTTCCCTTTCTCTTCCTCCCCTTCCCCTCCTCCCTCCCCTTGTGTAGAACTACTAATATGAGCATCATTAAACCACCACTTCACACCAAGTCAACAAAGCCGCTTTCCAAGCCTCGCGAGCCTGCGACTGCACCTTTTCAAAGTGGCCTCCCGCTTTTGCTACCGGCCCAGGCCCAAAGCCACGTGCTCTTACCATGTATACCCATAAGAGCACTACTTAGGTTCGTGTGAACTGGTGGTTTAAGAGAGCAGACAAGATATCAGGTGCAGGTGTGCTGAAAACAAAATGGGTGCGTACCCATTCCACAAGTACACAGACATGGTGGACCTTGCACCTCTCAGAATAGAACAATGAGAACTTCAAGGCCATTTCATCAAAAAATTACTGTTATCAGACGTTCGTTTAAGGAATCATACATAAGTTGATATAAGTTTGAAAGGTAACGTTGTTTCAATTTTGGATCTACTCACCTGCCAGTGGGTGGAAATGGGGTTGTTCTGGTGACAGTCGGACACGCACACACACACACACACACACACACACACACACACACACACACACACACACACACACACACACACACACACATACAGGGATGATTGAAAAAGAAGAGGAGGGGAGCGAAAAAGTGATTGACTGTAGCCAAAAAGGAGGGAGCGCGGCTTAAAAAGCCCCCCCGAGGGGGAGGCTAAATTTCCAGAACACGCCCTTGCACTATTCCTTTTTTACCCTGCCCGACTTTCCTCTCCTCTCTTTCTTTTTCGTTCCCCCTTTTTTTCGTTCCCTTTTTTTCGTTCCTTTTTTCATTTCTCTCTCTCTCTCTCTCCCCCCCCCCCTCTCTCTTCTCTCTCTCTCTCTCTCTCTCTCTCTCTCTCTCTCTCTCTCTCTCTCTCTCTCTCTCTCTCTTTTCTTCTTTTTTCTCCTTCTTTCCTTTCCTTTTTTTTGTTCCTTTTGTCTTTTTGAGCTTTTTTTCGATCGGGAAGGAGAAAACAGGCGTGCGCACGAGTATCACCACTGGTGACCCTCGGATCAGCCATAGGATCAGTGAGGATTCGGGTAGGATCCTAATAAAACATCCTGAACGGCGGCTCCCTTACCATTAGGTGCCCAGATGACGGGGAAAGCACAGCGGATCCAGGTCTCGAACCTCGAACCCGTTTCTTAACACTCAGACCATATGAGAAAAAAAGTGGTCATCTGCACCTTCGAAGAGACTTGAAGTTTCTTTCTTTTCTTTTTTTCTTTTTTTTTTCTCTCTTTCTTCCTTTTTTTCACCTTTTCTGAGCGCCCCCTCCTCCAGCTCCCAGGGTTATGCCAACGCTTAGCCCGGTTTCAAGGCGGTACGCGAGATGACAAGACTTCTCCACTTGGATGAAACGGCAAGCGTGTTCCTCCTGAGGATCGATAAGCACAATGGAAGGGCGGGGTAACACGAAGGGAAAAAGCGGGAAAACGCTTTCAAAAAATGTATGAGGTCACACTAAAGGCAAAGCGGGGGTAATTTGAACACGAATTCGTCGGTTCAAAAGCAGGATAGTATCGACAGCTTTTGGCGCCATAAGTTTTTGTACAGTACTTTTTCCTTTTTTCTTTTTTCTTTTTTCTTCTTTTTTTCTTCTTCTTTTTTCCTTCTTTTTCCTTTTTTCTTTCGATTTTCTTTTTTTCTTCTTTTCGTCTCATCGAAGCCTCTTCTGGGCAGACAACGTATTGCCTCTACAAGGAAGTGCCAGGGCATCGGTGGGTTCAAAGTGTCGACGTAGGCTCAACGCTGGTATAAAAGGGCAAGGGGCACTGTCAGAACGCATCAAGAGACGAAGGGTGACGTCATCGAGTATGGGGATTACAGTGGCTTGTTCGATTAGACAAGCGGGAATTTTTTTCGTC